TATACGGAAACAAACCCTCGTGAAAATTGTGAAGAGTTAACATTCCAAAGGGAAGCATCCTTCTAGGCAATGCCGTGTTTCCACAGTTCACAAAAAAAGGAGTATGTTTCCAGAAATATCACACCCTCAAGCACTTCTAGGAGCATTGGTAAGTGTTCTCCAAAAATTTTAGTTCATTAAATTAATTAGGAGATTTCACATTAATTTTTAAAATGAACAGTGCAAGTCTTAGGATAGTAGGTTTAATAATGGCGGTCCACAGGGTGATTTAAATATTTAAATCGCCAGTCCTTAATGTGTTAATGGTAGGCATTATTCACTGATACACTTCTCATTCAATAATTTACATATTATCCAGAGTAATACATTTTTAATTACTTAGAACATGACATTGCTTTACATGTTTCAGCCTAGTCTCGCCATCTTCAAAAAGCTTTCCAACATTATAAAAAGATTTTTTATTGCTAGTGGGGTGGGACTAAGTCCCTTTTACTGCGGCCACTTCTGGCCTATTGTACCAGCCCCAGATGATAGGTGAGGGTGATTGTGGAGCAATTGGTGGAATGAAGATTGGCAGGGGAAACCGAAGTACTCGGACAAAACCTGCCCCAGGGCCACTTTGTCCACCACAAATCCCACTTGACCAGACCCGGGATCAAACTTGGGCCTCTGCGGTGGGAAGCCAGTGACTAACCGCTTGAGCTATGGCGGGGCCCTAAAAAGAAATTATTTTACATTTCTTTTTACATGTGAAATATATATGAAGTTACTACTGTAACTAGTCTTCTATGATTTATAGACAATCACTTTACTTTTTCACCATATTACACTATTACCACTTTACCACTACCTATTACACTACTTTTCTACCACTTTACACTACCTAATAAACCAAATTTGACCCAAATCTCTGACTCACAAATAATATAAAGTAACTTCCTTCTATAATATCTGAAGGCTTTTTGCAGATGGCCAAACTAGACCAAAACATGCAAAGCAATGTGATGTTCTAATTAATTAAAAATTTGTTACACTGGATGGAACTTAGATTTTATTCAGTGTAAGTTCCTCTGCATACAGAAGCTAGTACTGCATAAAAAGTTTATATTACTTACCACATTTCAGTACACAAATGGAAATTAAGAAAATGTTATCTTATGTGACTTCTACATGCATTCTTTGCAAACAGAAAGTTTGTATACAGATTCTGACAATTCCTGTTCCTTAATTATAGGAACTGGAACATTAAGGATTATAAGGAGCATAAAAAAGAGAAAATTTAATGACAAATCCAGTGGAACATAAGTTAATAAACGGAATAAGATTGTATGAGCATGTTGTAAGAAGACAATCTCATAGAAGGTAGAGATCAAAATGGGAACAACAGGTTATGAAACATTTCACACAGAATCATGAACACATGAGGAACTGCGGAGCAGAATCAGTAACTTTCTGTGCTTTGTCCATTGTCCAGTATTCTGAAAGAACACAGTACCTTGAACACAGGATACATTTTCATGCTCAGGTAAAAGGGTAAGGAGGCACTTCTTCAGTTGGGTCTGTCTGAAAGAGCTAACCTCAGTCACTGGACAACCTGAGTCAGTCGCCTACATTTATAAATGCACACGGGATCAGGTTTTGTTAACGGGAGAAAATAATAAAATTTACAACAATAAGAACTGTGGAAATATCCATGAACACCTGAAATTAAGTAAGTGAAAGAAGCAAAAAAAAAAAATTTCCACCAAACCACCAATACAAAAGAAAATAAAAATATGAATGTTACTCAATACTGGCCCACCATTAGTGGTAACCAAGGAAGAAAAATGGAACCCTTAATGAAAATCACAGAGATGAGCATGGATAGCCTACCAAATTCATTTTGCCAATCTATCCTATAAGTTACTAACCTCCTTGTTGAAATGGGGAATTAATACATACAGGAAAAATTTCTGTAATGGGCTGTATGATCAGATTTGTCAAACAGCCATATGGGGTAGTTCCTCTTATTTCCCATATGTGTTGCTAGAATCAATTTATAAAATCTTGGCTGGCTTCATTCTAGCTTATCTGATTACACTCTTCATTAGTATGTTTGACCAGTTCAGATTATTACATAGGACTCCCTCTGAGACTGTTCCTATGTTCCTAGAGCCATGTGGCTAGTGGTCTGTTCCATCAATGCAGCTTCTGCCACATTCACAGGGAACATAACTGATGAAATGTATCATCTGTTGTCAATTTCTTATTGATCTGGTTCTCACAAGCAAACTCTTAAGAGTGTTTTGTGTTCAAGACTGTCCTAATACTGTAATGATTCTCTCTTATTTTTGAAATGCTCAGAAACTCCCTCCACAAAGGGGATAACACAGTGCCAAGAAACCAATTTCTCATTTTCTGGACAACTACTTAACCTGAAATTGTTATGAACTGAGTCAGTGAACAGCTGGGAATATCCACTGAGTTGAAGATGTCTAAAGTCACTGAATGGGTCATGACATGTCTCTATACAGTAGAAGTTTTACTGTGTAGGGTCTGAATTATTTCTCATTTAACATGGAGTGGATGATTAGATTCAGACCTAAGTATGGCTAGTGTAGGTTGGTTTTCTATAAACCTTACTGGCCAGCGCCAGCCCCTTTCTCGTAATATGAACATTCAGAGAAGGAAATATACTTTTTGATTCCTCCATGGTAAACAGGATAGAGGTTTAGATCTAAAATTCTGTGACAATGGTATAGCACTGGGGTATTTAAACACTGCTAGTAGAAGCAGGAGCACAATTTTGAATTTAGTAAAATTCAGTGTACATACCTTTTATTACTATTATCTTCTTCATTTTAGGTACCACTGCCAGATGAGGACCGAAACCTCGCTGACAGAAAGAGAATAATTATCAGATACCACTGCCAGTAGAGGGCCGACCTCGCTGGCAGAAAGGGGCTGATAGCAGGCACCAGTACCGGTAGGTTATGGAGACAGTAGAAATTAAAGGGGCATGCACAATGGACCAATAACTGGTCTAAGTGCATGGGGAAACCCACCTCCTCTAACAATGAATGAATGAATGAATGAATGAATCTTCTTCTTTAAGTATATATAGGCTTAACTTCCGTCTCTGTCTTAGTTTTGGATCTCCATGGATATTTCCACAGTTCTTATTGTTGTAAATTTTATTATTATCTCTTGCTAACAAAACATGATCCCAGGTGCATTTATAAATGTAGGTGACTGACTCAAGTTATCCAGTGACTGTGATTACTCTATTATTTTTTTTTATTATTATTATTGGAGGGGGTGGGTTTCCCCATGCACCGCGACCAGTGGTCTATTGTATGTCCCCCTGTGATATTCTACCAGTCTCTATACCCTACCAATACTGGTGCGTACCATCAGTCCCGACTCAGCCAGCGAGTACGGCCTCTACTGGCTCAGCGGTATCTAGATGCTTCCCCCATCTACCAGAGGCGTTAAGAGACTATTGTTGGGCGGGAAATGTCCTTTATAATTTGGCTCAGAGGCCTCCTTGAGGCATGAGGTTCTTTTACGTGCCGTAAAGCTACAACATTGGACTCACGGCTTAAAGTCCCTCCCGGAGGACTTGTTCCCTGAATTTTTCTGCCCTTAAAAATTCCACGACCTCCGCCAGGTTTGAACCTGCGTACCTTGAGTCATGAGGTAGGAACGTTACCCCTAGACTACAGAGGTCGCTGTGATTACTCTAACAGAACCAACTGAAAAGCTGCCTCCTTACCCTTCTATCTGAGCATTGAAATGTATCCCATTTGCAAAATACTGTATTCTTTCAAAATACCAGACCATGGAAAAAGTGCAGAAAGATTGGTAATTCCTAGCATTACATACCATCCTCAGAACCTTTAAGAATTGGCGATAAGTGGTTTGGGAAGATAAGAAGATGGAGATGACCCTCATAAAAGTGGGAATGGCAAAGGAGGAAGAATAAAAGCTGGAAAATTTTAAAACCAAATACAGTACACGACAGAAGTTTCATATGCTGTGTACACTATTCTAAAACTGCTAAGGTACATACTGTGCCACTATATATATATATA